GCACTGCTCTGCTGAACCGTTTCTGCGCTTTCTTCTGCCGATGGCTGAGGATGTTCTGCTTGTGCTGCTTGTGCTTGGTCAATTGTGTGCCGTACCACGCCAAACATCTTGTCAATCTTTTCTTGAGTCAGGTCCTTCGATGGTGGCAATCTTGTTGGCCCATACACATACTGTTTGCCTTTGTATGTTGCAGTGTCAAAATATGTTGCAATGTCCTTGTTGCAAGGCAATTACTTGGTTGTCTCAGCAGGCAGCCGCACTGGTGATATACAGTTCGATTGCAAAAGAATATCAAAGTGAGTGTAGCCTTTGCCTGCCTCATCAATCAGCCACTGGAAGTATAGGTGCACATCTGGTGGCGTACGTTGCTTGCCGTGCACAGCATCCTGCGGTATATCCTTATCCTCAGCTGATTCAGCAATCCACCGGAAGACCTGACAAAGGCACTTGTCAAAGGACTGTTTTTAAAAATTTGTCAAACTCAGAAGTATATATATATATATGCATTGCATATAGCTCTATGTTTCCATAGTCTAGTATGCCGGCAATGCGCATGATGTGAATAGTATATATATATATAGATTTGTTTTCAATTGAATTTGTATTTGGCATAAGGTTTTTTGTATATATTAAAATATAGCCACCGGTGCATATCGCAGACCATTTTTCTTGTAATTCATTAACCTTTTGTCACTTACCAACAAATATATGCAGTTAGAATTTGAAACAACCCCAGCCTCATCTGGAATAGTACAGCGAATGGCAAGGTTCAATGCTTCCCCAATTCGTGCAATGTCACAGAGCCCAACGTAGCCATTTTCATAGCGTATCTCTGCATTTGGAAGAAGTAACATCAAGCGCTTCGCTGCATCTGCTTCTGCTGCTAGTTGTCGCTTGTTGACAGCAAAAACATTTGTATGCCGGGGTACTTGGCGATACTGCTCCACACGAAGGCCTGCCAATACAGAGTGCCAAAAGCAAAAGCCATTTTCTGGAATTGGCACTTTCATGAAGGAGACCAAGTCTTCGCCCTGCAGTTGTGTGCTGCTCTCCTGGTTTGTTTTGATAGCCATGTCCATTTGGTCAATAATTGCTTGGTCTACCAGGAACTTCGCTTCATCTGCAATACTCACGCCAAGCTGATCAACTGGAATAATCTGGTAGTTGGCGTTCTTCCTGCGATTCTTTCCTTTGTTGCTCAGGTTGACCGACAAGAAGCAACCATCTCCATCATATCGCCAGCAGAATGGATCACAACAGGATCCAAAGACAATCAACAACAAAGGTCCCTCCTGGTGCTTTGCCATTTGGTTCATGAGATCACGGTGATTCTCCGACCTTTGTTCCTCATCCCACAACACTAGTCCCATAAGCTTGTATTCCATCTTCTGCCACCTGTCTACGAGCTCCGGTGTGGTCAAGGTAGCATTCAAATCACAGCCCAAAATGATGTCAAGCACTAGGCCATCCTTTCCTGCCAAAATCCAAAGCTTGAAAGAGTTCTCCTTTGGCTTGCGAGCTGAAAGGGCTTGAACAAGTCCACGATAAACAATAAACGGACTCTCTTCCATCTCAGGTGCATGCACTGGATCACAGGAAAGAAAGGCTGCGGTGACATCTTGAGTATCCTGCAAGTTCTTGGTGGTGTCTTCTGACAATTTCTGCGCTATCTCAGCAAGACTGCCACTGGAAGCCGATACCAATGTGCCGAGAGCATTTTGCAAGGCCACTGCTTCTTTACCACTGGCAGCCGCATGCTTCACGCATTTTGACAGAGCCCCATCCTGGCGCTGTGAACATGTTTCAATGATTGAAGTTCAATTCAATGCTTTCCATATTCTAAGTCCATCGAGTGTCAATACTATATATATATATATATCTTGAAACATATTGGGTATTACTGTAGTGTTGCCATTTGTCCTTGTCAGCCTTTTGAAGCTGAATGATCCAATCAGAAGCAGCTTTGAAAGGTTTGAACGCTTGTTCCACTTTCTGTTGAGATCCAGAGAATGATGCTGTAAAGCCAGCTCCCTTCACCTCAATGGAAGACTTCTCCAAGATGGTCTGGTCGTGAACTCTGGTGCACAAATACTTCACAATGTTGTTCTCTACCAGGCTGGAACTGCCATTCATCAATCTATCGACAAGCTCCTTCCGTTGATCACGAATACATCTCTTCATGAACTTGGAGTCCACTCCATGATCAGTCAGGATGCTTTGCCGATGCGCAGGTTTGCGGCCTGCTGAGTCAAAATCACCCATAATTTCATTCACAAGGCCTTCAAAATTCCCTGCTGCCAGCACAGCAGTGGTTTGGTTGACGTAGCACATGAAAGTGAAGTTCCGCTTGCCCCCCCCGTTTGGCAGAGAGACCCTGACATGCTTCTGGAAGATGCTGAAGTTCTTGCTTGTCTCTAGATGTTTCACCTGCAAGGTCTCAGTGTGTTCCGAGCCTTTGTATGTGTATGCATTACATTATTAGAATTAACTAGTATAGACTAGATCGCATGTGTATGCATGTGTGGATGTTTACTGTGCATACAAACCATTGGTTGGACGGGCCTCATTGTTGTCAACACCTCCATCGTCATCTGATGTGCAATCAGGCTCACCAGGAGGTGGAGGAAGCGGAGGTTCTGGCAAAGGTTGCTTCTCACGGTCTGAAGAAGCCTTGGAACGTGCAACTTCCTGAGCAGAACAAGCATGTGTCGCCTGCGTGAGAGGTGTCAGGATTTGCTGAGCGTGAAACAAACCGATGCACTTAGAATACACCACCTCACACTATATATATATATATACATATAATATTATCCACTAGCTGAATACCATGCATATGCAATTAGAATACCGTGCACATGCACTTAGCTGTACCCTGCCTTGGTTGCAGCCTGAAGAAGTACTAGATCGTATTTGTCTCTCCCCGCTTTGTTGCGGAGACTGTTGTACGCATCCTGCACACGCTCAAGCTGCCTGGCATTCCCCTCAGCGCTTTCAACAGCTTGATGGTAGCACTTGGTGATTTGTTGAGACGGTACCATAGATAGCAAAACTGCACGTTGAAATGGTCTGTGCTTCTCATCCCCAGGATGAGGCGGGACCCCCAAAACGTCGTAATGATCCACGGCAGCTTCAACGTCTCGACACTTGTACCAGCCCAATTCCGACATGGCACAAAGATTGGATAGACTTGGATGTTGATGTTTATACGTGTAATTGACACATGTACCCTTCACTGTACCTCAAGTGCTAACAAGTTCAATTGAGCACACTCCGCTGAATATATATATATATACATTTTGCAATGCTCATAGAATATACATATATATATACTGGTTTTGATCTGGTTCATCTGAACTGGGTTGATCTTGACCTTGGTTTTGATCTTCAAAGTCACGCATTGATTTCTAAGTGCAATTCCGGACTCATTCTATGTGCATTTGCAGTTAGAATATAGTGATGCATGAAGGTATCCCAAAAATCCTGACTAATTATGGTTTTGGAATTAGTCCATATTCTAACTGTGGGCATTTCACTATATATAAACCATCCCCACGCAAAAAGGATCAAAAAGCTGTTTCGGAAATCTTTTGTCGACCCATAGCGAAGCGTGCTCCTGAAGAGCAAAATCATGCAAAATCTATGTTGGTCTTTGCGAGGGATCTGCCTTCAGTAGATCTACTGCAGCAAGAAAAACATTTGTGGACGACAAACACCAAAAAGGTCAGGAATGTCGTTCTTTGCAAAAGGCCAATCAAGGACCTTTGCCAGAGACTCGACAAGGACAACAGCTAAGATTCTGCACGTAAGAGCCGTTTGATATTTCAACAGGCAAAAGAGAGCAAAGGCAGCTTTCAAAGGTTTCTGAAGCAAGAAACATCTCTTAAACCAGCACTAAGCTTCATTGCTCCAGCACCCACCACTAGACCAGCAGCAGCGCCACCTGCAGCATACATCGCTACATTCACCGGCTTCTGTGCAGGCACAGCGTTGTAGCCTGGAGGGCAAACACAACGAATGATGAAAGATCATCTAAAAACAAACAATGTCAGGTGGAAGAACTGCCGACTGTAATATCTGCTAGGAGCATCCAAGGCCAGTCTATGTGGCAATTGGTTCCAAGCAAATTGGTGGAGAAGAATGATTACAGTTCTAATGGCAGGGTGAGGCAAATCACAGTGGAAAGCATGACAAATAAGGTCCTTGATCGACAAGTGGAATTCCCCTCGTACAACATCTCACACCAATCACTCAGCAAGGTGACTCACTGACTCCCCGAGAAAAAAGGCATGCAATGAGCCCAAACCATGCCGTTGTCTGTAAATTAACAGCTTGCAACAACTCTCAGTGTCAGCCCATTATATAGATAGTTCATGATAATTCAATCATCCATTAACGATGATTGCTGTAAAACAATCTGTTTAACCAATTGACATGTTGCATAATTGCAAAATGTTCTGTACATCTTGCAACTTAACAACCAAACCGCGCTCCACTGCTGCCAGTCAGTCGTTGAATACTCTTGGCAATTGAAAGCCTGAAGAAGAATGATACAGTATATTACAGTATAAGAAATCAGCGAAATGAGGTTCTGGTGTCGGTGCCTTGGTTGTTCACCAAATGTTGAGCTTGCGGAGCATGCTAAATCCGTGCCTGAATATCCATAGGGAGTCTGCTGCGGCATGGTGCCCCCATAGTTGTTCATCATCTGGGGCCTGTTTGCATAGCCATAAGGTTGCTCAGGGATCGTTCTGCGGCGTCGTAGATCAGCATCACCTGAACAATGATAGATTCAATTTTCACTTGATGACAGGATAAACAACACTGTATGAGAACGGCATACATGACTAAGCAACAACATAGACTTACAGTGGTACAGAACGGACTGGAGGCCTTTCTAATGCGTGACGCAAAATCGTGCTTTAAAAAGAAACTTGTCAAACACCTTTGTCATTGGCTAATGGCGTTGCTTAATGCTTTTTGATGCAACCAACTTCTTCTGTTCAAACCAAGTTGCCAGCGAAACGCCTGCGCAGCTGCGTAGCATATGATTGTCCGTTCATGCTACTGGTCCTTCGCCGAGTTTCGATGGGTGTGGGCACTGGTGGTGGTGGTGCCCTTCGCCGGATATTTGGTGGCGGCGGTGACGGGGCACGTCGTCAAGCAGAATATGAGGTGGGTGCCGAATATGATCGTCGCCGTGGATATGAGGCAGGTGCTGAGGGAGCTCTCCGCCTTGGTGATGAATACGAGCTCCAGCCTCCTCCACCTCCACGACGACGGGCGGAAAGCCGGCGTGCTGCATCACAGGTATCCGTGGCGAGGTTGTAAGTTTCCGGTCCATCATCACCTAAACAACAATGATCAGCAAAGGTGTTTCATAGAATTCCGATGTGTGGTTGCTGTGCATAGAGCACGGGAGAAACAAACCATGCCCGCTCAGTACTTCTGAGTTGCCCACTGCTGAGCTGGATGGAGCATCATGTTGCAAAATGTAGCAATGCAGCAAACACTTTGCCAGGTCAGGGCTTAAAAATAACTTTGACATATCGAATTGAATATGCTTTTCATGGGGAAGCTCAACCCTGGGTGTTTTGTGAGTCTTGTGCCTCAGCCCATCCTTCAAAAAATAATCACCTGTCGGTTTCCCATGGAATCCCTTGACTCCAAGGTGCAAGTCTCATAGCTGAAGGAATAACCAGTGCCAAGCCAGGACTTCTTTGCAATGGGGCAGCTGCTGTTGACATAACACCAGGAATCACAACACCACTCCTAAGATCTTGGTTCACGCAGGTTCACTTGCCTTTTCGATGTGTCATTGATGAAGGTCTATTGTAGTGTCACCAATTTCTAGCAAACTGCAGGTTTGGATTCTAATCTTGCCATCAGTTGTGGCGAAGTTGAAAACCCTGCACCCGTTTGAAATATATAATTGGTCTCGATCCTTCAGTAACATCCTAAAGCTACCAAGCTTCATTGTCAGCCGAGGTGGCGCCCCAATTCGAATTACTTCCCCACACTGTCTGGCAACCCACTGCATCCCATGATGAGCAACTGCTTCCATAGTCTGCAGCAAAGTTCCCTTTTCCATCAAAAGTGCCATCTGGCAGTTGCCCTCGACACTCACAAAGGGACTCCCACTTGCAGGCAGACACAGCTTCTGCGTTCAAGCTGCATCTCTCCTGGCTCCAGTAGTGACCTTGCCACACAGTCGAAGCACGTGCTGTTGGACAAGACTCAGAGACCCAACACCACGATGTGCAACACCACATCGCATGGTCTGCACCAGGATACGTTTTGTCGCAAACGTCTGCATCATGTGGACCGCACTGTCGGCCATAGTCTGCATAGGTAGAGAGGTCGAGACCAAGGCTCGAAATAAGTTCATTCGGCATTGTTGCATCCAAGCAGTCACACGAAGTGTCAGTGGCAGAGACGTTGGGTTGTGGCTGGTATGGGCGCTGCAACATCAAGGCAGGGTCATCTATGCAAACATTGTCTGACCAAA